TTGCTAACATTCATACGCTTTTTATGAATATAATTCACCCAAACTAAAAACAATGACTCGGTAACTTTTATATAGAAAAATCAAAATGTGTCAATCAATATTAATCATTCAAGAGCGCAAGACCAAATACCTACTGATTTCCACAAAAAAACCATGTATATTATTTTACATTATTTTTGTTTTTTCGGCATAATTTCATTGGTATTCTGCAAGGTTCTATTTTGTGGGTAAGTCTTTAGTAATGCGATGTTCAATTCCACTTTCATATCCCCACTCAATCGACGTCTGTGTACAGAGAACTTACCTAAGGAGCACACGATAGCGTAATACAATCTTTGATCCTTTTCAAATAGACTTGTTCACGGCACTCCTTGTGCTTCATCATCTTGATGCGATGTTGTTTTCTGGATACAAAACAAACACGTGTTGTCTATGTGTCCTAACTTATCCAGACTAAACATTATCACAAGGCACACTGTTAACATACATCTCAAAGTTACCAAACTTGCGACAACAGTTCAGTGTGTGTATTGTGAGTTGTAGTTTGACCAATCCAAATTTACCCCTGCAATATCAGGACAGGGGACACCGGATATAGGCGTCACACATTGTACCCATGTGGGGAATCGAACCCGGGTTTTTGGCGTGGCTTGAGTAAGCTTTAACCACTAGGCTACCCCACTACCCAATACAAGTTAAGTTTTTTTCTTTTCATATGTTTCTGCCTCCTGAATTGTATTGACCTCAAAGACTGAAAGCAACTGCAGAGCATATGTGATTCTGAGCAGGCAATTCAGAGATGCTACCTAAGTATGTTAGTAACTACCAAGCTCAAAAAGCTGGAAAAAAGTTCTCCTAACTTCGCATATTTAATTCATTTAGAATCTAAATATACAAGTCACTCGAGTTCTCAAAAGAAATGTTGCGTCATAAGTGTTTAAAAAATCGATTAAAAAAATATTTGTCAATGTAGCCAACGTCGTATTTCATTAAACCCTAAATAACTTATTCAAAAGGTCCATGCATGAACCTGATGGATGTGTAGTACCGTTATACTATCTCTGTTACTGTAATCTCCAATCTAGCCAGAAATAACCACACACATGACAATTGTTGATGTAATGCATTGCAACTGAAATATACCCGCGGTGCGCTGTGTGCTGAATGGGCTCCAAATAACACAGATCTGATCATGTGATTGAGATAAACCAACAAGATCGATAATGTCAGTTAAAAGTGATAAATTAACGAAAGGGTTATTTGGTGTGTTTGGTGAGCGGCGAGTGAGTGTGTTGGTTTTATCGATGCTTTGAACAGTATTTCAGTGAACGGATTGCACGTCAGCTTAATATGAGTGGAAAGCCCATAGCGACCCTGGTCGAGGACATTTACGACTGAAATTCATGAGCATGCTGTATGTTTGTTGTTTTACGCCGCACTGGGCCGTAGTTCGGCCATACGACGGCGACCTGTAAATCATCGTGTCGCGACGAGCGAAAGCTTTAACCACAAGGCTGGGTAGCCTACTGCTTAAAGCTTTCGCTCACCGCCCTACAAGAATCTGGAACATTGAGTGTTTTTTGTAATACAGAGAAGCCATGTTAACTCGAACCTCCACGACTCGTGACCCCATGGATCATAGTTGAGAACTATCTGATCCTGTTTGCTTCGATATCGGTAAAGCCGACATCTTGTATGTGAAGACATATTGGAGAAAACAGGAATAATAGACTGTGTGTTTCATGTCAGAGAGATTATTTGCAGATGACAATCATTGTTTACTTATTTGTGATATCTATAATTCATTGAGATGTTTGAATATCCAGCCATTTTTTACTCATTTCCCCAAAGACACAGACTCAATTCACATCTCAACTGAAACTATATATATATAATGCAATGATAGTATAAGATAAGATAAATTATTATTATTATCATTAAAATAATGCAATGAATAGTATAAGATGAGATAAATTATTATTATCATTAAAATATCTCTATTGTAATGCTATATTTTCTCTCTCAAGATGATAGTCCTGGGTCTATAACATTTATCACGGGATGAATAAACACATTTGGACCATATTTTTGAGAGCTTTTTCTAAACACGTAATCATTCGACATCTCTTTTTGTCAGTATGCCCATATTTTAAAGTGAAATTACATTTTCGTTGTTCTATTCGGAGCCAAAAAACCGGACGAGTGACACGGAATAGGCAAGAATTGACGAGGCTCCGTCCTTCACCGCCATACTCACAGGTAACACAGCAGCCTGTCTTTCAAGGACTGCACCAGCAGGTTAATTGCATGCGTGGGGCGTGATTGTCTGTACAACACTGAGATTCTCTTGCATAAATCACGCTGGTGTGAAATGTCAAAGCTACTGTCTGACCCACGTTGTTACAACCGCAGTATCATATAACCCACACCGTGAAATCTCCAGCCGGACCAGTTGCTCGTACACAGTAATATGTCCCAGCAGAGATACAGTAAACAACGGTGATAACGAACTGAAAGGGGCCACTAAGTTTAGTTCGTTATAACCGTAGTTTGCTATAAGCAGTTTCTCGTACACAGTAATATGTCCCAGCAGAGATACAGTAAACTACGTTGAGAACGAACTGAAAGGGATCACTAAGTTTAGTTCGTTATAACCGTAGTTTGCTATAAGCAGTTTCTCGTACACAGTAATATGTCCAAGCAGAGATAAAGTAAACTACGGTGAAAACGAACCCAAAGGAACCACTAATTTTAGTTCGTTATAACCGTAGTTTGTTAAAAGCACATATACAGTCTATATACGGCAAATGGCCGGGACCAACAAGACCAGTTTGTTGTATCCGTCTGTTCGTTATAAGTGTGTTCGTTATAAACGTAGTTTACTGTATTTACATTTTTGTTTGTTTGTTGTTCAACGTGCACTCAGAAACATATATTCCTGCTATATGACGGCGGCCTGTAAATAATCGAGTCTAGATCAGACGATCCAGTGATTGATATCATGAGCAACGACCCATGGCCGGTACAATGACATGCATCAACCAAGTCGCTGAGCCTGACCCCCCATCCATTTCGTCGCCTCTTACGACCAGCATAGGTTGCAGGGGGCCTATTCTAACCAGGAAGTCCCACGGTGTTTCGTCAAAGACAATATCCATGCTCAGCGAAGATAACATTTGTTTTGTTTCTTTGTTTGTCTGTCTACCGCCGCACTCAGCAATATTCCAGCTATATGACGGCGCTCTGTAAATAATCGAGTCTGGAATAGACAATCCAGTGATTGACATCATGAGCATCGATCCACGCAATTGGGATACGGAGACATGCATCAACCAAGTCAGCGATCCCGTTAGTCGCCTCATAGCCAAGCAAGCATGGGTGACTGAATACCTGTTCTACCCCGGATCTTCACGGGTCAGCAAATATAACACGGAGGACTGGTCAAAGTGGTCTCTCTATAGTGATAAAAGAGCATTACGTTTTTAATTTAGTTTTGTTAAAAGTCATGACTTAATATAACGGCTGACAGCCAGGCATTCCTCATGACCCCGCATTCAAATGAGTATATTGATTATTTTCTTCCCAATTAAAACAGATAATATCTGACAGAATACAACTGAATACTCAATAAATATTTTATAATCGTCTCCTTGTGCCAAAACCCATATCGCTAAATATCAATGTACCCCTAACCTGCCTTTTTAGAGGATCGGTTTTATTTTTCTAAAAGTTGTCCCTAGACCAGCTTCTCATAAAAGAGTTTAAAAAGCTGTGGTGAGTGAGTATGATTTTACGCAAAGGTCCAAGGCATAACACGCCTGGGTGAAACCAGAAACGAGCTTGACACATTGTACCCATGTAGAGAATGAAACCCAGGCCTTAGGCGTGACAAACAAACGCGTTAACCACGAGGCTACCCCACCCACGGTACATTTAGCTGTAATATATCTGACTCCTTATTATCGCATTACTATTGTGTTCTTTCCCCGCTAAATGAATACCAACCTATTTGGCAATGGTTTTACATGTATTTCTTTCTTGTCAAACGTTGTTTACAATATGAATGTTCTTTTTCTGTTTCTTTCAGTTTCTTTTTTAGACACAGTAATCGACACCAGGTAACAATGATTTAAAGGCTGCGGTGGTCCTGTAGTCTTGTCGCTGACAGTTGTAAACAAGTCTCAACTTTAAGATTTATCGGTTCGGGACTTTTTACATATTGATGATTCATTGAAATAGGTTATGTGAACCTATACTTCAGTTGTGCACCAATGCATTACATACAAAGTTCATGCCACCGCAAGTTTGTCTTACTTATAACGTGTAACCAACTCCCTGTCATTCTTAAAGCTGCTGGAATTGTCCCTCGGGAAAAGCGTCAAATGAATGCAATAATAATAATAATAATAATAATAATAATAATAATAATAATAATAAAATTAAAATAATATTATTTGATTATTTTTTTTTTAAACAACGGCTTTAACATAAAATTTGAGTTACATTGGCCACCAATATTATCAATTGTTAATATCGGCAATGTTACAGCCCACACGACATGTTACGTACATTTGCTCTGCTGTGATCATAATTGACAGTACAGTGACATGGGCCCGATCACTTTATACATACATACACTTTGGCTCGGGAATGTAAAATCCTTTGGCTTAATGTATCGTCATGGCGAATCTGGGTTAACAATATGTTATATATTCATGAGCATAGTGTGAAGGAAATTATGTTCTGTAGAAGAGTCCTGTCCTTTGGAAAAATCGCCTGCGTATTACAAAACAGCGTCTATGAAACAATTAGTCAATACAATCAAATCAATCACAGCCGTCGCCACCAGTCTAGATCTCAGTCAAATTTGTTGATAATCTGATGTGAACTACCGTCTAAATATCTGTAGCACTTTAATAATCTCCCGTCTAGTATTTCGATTCCAATAAACGCCAGTAGCCTATCGACTCAAGCCGGGAATAAAACAGGATTACCTCGCGGGGATTATATAGGAATTAGTGCTGCACAAAGCCATAGTATTACTAACTATAAACCACGGTAGGGCGAGCGTCTTACGGGGCTATTCTGCTCTAGTGAGTACATGGGTCGTATGTTGGCGACTAAAGTGTTCATTGTTTAGTCAGTTGCTACGGCCCTCAGTTACCCACCTGGAGCAGTATGTGGTGACACTCTATACCCAAGGGCCGGAACAGCCGAGCAAGTACTGCTAAAGGGTACGTTTTGATTTGAGAAGTTAGAATTAGCGTTAAATGGGTAGCTTCCCAAAGATCTGTAAACCCGGAGGCAGAGACTTGATAATATTTTGTGACCCCGCGGCGGTAGTGAGGGGTCGGCAGGAGCGCCCCTACCCTCGCTAGGTAACGATGGAGGGTGACAAGGACTTCTGTACCGTGGACGTGAGGATATCCCTTTGAAGGACCCTACACTGAGAGCAGGTATGTGTCCCGTGAGTGAGCGTAACAATGAAGAGCAATTGAAGATTGGAGGGATATATCATGGTTCCGAATCACAGCAGACTGTCCTTGTTGACTGAAATATTCACTATGTGTGGTGTCATAAAAGAGGGGCATTTTAACAACGAAGGTGGATAAGGAGCACGTGTGTTTGCGCTGGACCAAGAGGCAGTCAATTCAAGAGGTCGGGGATGTCCGGCTCACGGAAATGTATAAAAGGTAAAGCATGTATGTTTCGGCATGGCTGAGTCTAGTCTGAGCGGATCACGAACCACGGACGTGGTGTCCCATTCTTCCAGCTTCGCTATTGGTGTCAGGGGGAAAAACATGGCTGCATCTGAAATAGATAAGCCACTTCCGGTGGTTGAACTAAAACCGTTTACTCCGCGGGTATGGAGAAGAGAAAAGAGCCTGCCTGAGTTCTATGACAAGCCTCCAACTGCAGGAGGAGAAAACAATATTGAACGACGGATCCAGTTTGAAAATGGACTTGGTGAAGAACTCGCTAAGAGTGAAAATAACGCTGCGCTTGTTGCTAAGTATTTGTTCGGCGGAGAGAGGGGATACACAAGTGAATCAAGACTGTCGGATTTAAATATCCCGAGGTATAAAATCAAACTCCACCCAACTGTAGATTTCAGTTACAACTGTCGACCTCCAAGAATGAACGCGCTCATTCCTGAATTCATACCTCGTGTGGAAAGAACAAAGACCACACTGCAAGACGTGACACGTGATGACAATCCTAACAGACAATACAGTCTTGCTAAGCAGGCAGTGACGGACGTAACGGCAGCAAGACACCAGGGCATGAGAATACATGGTGGGAGAGTACAACAGACACCTGGTGTCCATAGGACACAACTCACATACCTCAACCCTATAGATGAATACAGCCAGACAGGTCAGTGGAAGCGGGGAGATAAACGGCTGCCTGAGAAATATTATCGGCCACCTCACACAGGTAAAGGGTCAATAGTTAATGGACATGATTCAAGAAACAGTCAGAGCAAATCATCAGTGGTCAGCAGTGACGCATCATCTGTGTCCAGTACCGGAAGTAGGGTTGTAGCACGCTCTCCGATGAAGCAGGTGAGCCACAGATTTAATCAAATATTCAATACAAAGCAAAGCGTCAGTGTGGATATAGGAGGCATCAAGACTAAGAACGCCTTGCAGATCTTAAGCGAAAATGGGCCTACAACGAAACTGGAAAAACAACTAACATTTGAGATGGAGGTCAATATGGAGATGTGTCGCCGCCATCTTGATTTTATATCTTCTGATGGGTCATATTTCCCACAATCTAGTATCCCCAACATGTTTCATGATCTAAGCCGGCCTATAACTCTGACTAAAGGGGAGGCGATGTTGAGAAAAGGACGCGACCTTAACAAGCGCAAAATACAAAATCGGAGACAGTCACGTGGCAGGAACGTGCTTCCGGTTGACTTTGACCGGAACGTACGTCAAGTCGATGCTGCTCAATTTGATTCGGGGATACAGAGCCCAAGGACTGGTGTTCTAGAAACTGCTTTTCATAATGGATTATTCGACAGAGTGGATGACCCTTCCATTAAATACATGACATATGCAAACAGCGGCTTCCCTTTCTCAAGAGGGAGCCCTTTGAAAGCGATCTCTTCAAAGGGAGATACCACCCCTACAACGGACGCTACGATGCCCGGAAACAGTATACCACGTGATTTGGAAAGTGACATGCGTTTGGAGGAAGTGAAGGATTCTCTTCAGACCAGTCCCAGAAACTCTTCGTATACATCTGGGATCAGTCCTACTTTTGACACGTACATTACCGAACCGAACCCGAATGTTGGCAGTCACGTGATGTCGTTAGATTCACGGGTATTATCAAACAAGAGTGCACAAGGGGCGCATTTTACAAAAGCGCATTTCAAACCATGCACCAACGTTAAGTTGAAAGATGGCAGCAGGGGATCTGACATCGACACTCTCCGAGCGGTCACGTGATCACCGGTCCGTATTGAACAGTTCTATTTATTTTTATTTATCAAGCAATGTGTGATATAATGTATTGTACATATGTTTATCTTACCACAGAAAATGGACAAATCTTTTGCTGTGCCATGTGCTAGTGTACAGATGTAATGAGTGCACCAGTACTTAAACCACATTACTACACCTGTCCCCGAGTGAGTCCGTCGAAATATGTCTTGTCTGTCTAATATTCCAACTGTAAACGTTACAATGTAAATCAGTGTGTCATATCCTAAAAAGGTATGGATAAATATGGATAATCATTTTATATATCAATTTTCTACTTAAAATAATATTTAGTATGACAATCAATGTATAACATGACAATATTGTCCAGTTGTTTTTATCGGCAAATCATGGTAAACACTTCGATACCGACAAACAACTCTTTGATCGCGAGATACAATGTTGAAACGGATATTTTCCGAAAGAGGAGTTTGATTATACATATGTTTTTTTGTTTTTTTTGTGTTTTACGTCAAACACAGTCTGTGAAAAACGTTTTTGTCTAACATGACAATCTGAAAATTATCTGGGATGCCTTAAATATCAATACTAATTGAAAGAAGAACCACATTACGAACTAGATTCAAGCGCAGCCACAAGTGATATTTGGAATACGGGAATGGAGGTTCTGTAACGGAGCACCCAAATAAAGAGTCTTTATAACCCCGAACTATGTTAATAGATAAGTCAAATACAGCTGCCGTTGCAATTATTCGGATATCTTCCTGCCAACGAAGACATCTGTTCACGGGAATATACAATATTACCTGGAGTCAACAAGCGTAGTCAATATTACACTATCATTGTCAATGCTCCCGCTGAACGTGCACAACCGCAGATAATACAACTGCTTCCATAGTAGCTCAACAACGTATAATCTCTGTCAGGGATATTTACGAGTCAGGTAAATCGATATGCCCATGTTATAATGGAGGGCGTCCCTGAGTGCCTGCACCTCTGTTTACCTGGGATTCACAGCGACTGTCCCGATAGGTCACTCATACTGATGTTGTTGTGTAAATAGAGAATCTCACCCGAGTTACTTTTGATATCAAATATATCAACACGAGTTGATACAAGTGGGAAAACTCCGAGGCTTGCCGAGGATTTTTTCCACTTTTATCAACGAGTGTTGATATATTTGATATCAAAAGACACGAGGGTGAGATTTTATTTATCATCCAACATCATTCTTCCAACTTTTTCAGTTTGTAGGCAGTAATAAGCAGTGTCTTAGTGTAAAAAGTACTGCTAACAGCTTCAGTAGCAGAGCCATTAGTGATGTCATTTGATTGTGACGTCATGGTAACCAATGACATCACAATGGTCTGCAAAGCACTGTGATGCAATTTCATTGCAGCGATATCTACAGTGTAGATATCGCTTGATCTCACCCAAGCGATATCTCCTGAGAGAGCCAGATTTGGATGATAAATTACAAACACCACCTTACCTTTTAATCGAAGGAGACTCTTTTTAATAAGTTTGTTTACGGATTTGACCGAACTTAGCCGAAAGGCATACTGAGAAAAGTATTATTATTTTGCACGACCACTTAATACTAGTATATGACTGATTAGAAAAATACAAAAATGCAATGTCAAAACTCTAACAGGTAACTAAGTATGTATTGCATTGTATTCATGATATATACTCTCTGGTCACTGAAACACCATTTACAAAGAGAACAAAGCCTTCTCTGACTGAAGTGATACATGCAAATATTAATGAAAATATACAACTCAAAAGAAGTTAAACATACGATTTTTGAATAAAGCTAATCTGTTGTCATGCATAGATGTAAGATCATATGGAGCATTAATTGTTCTCCACTTGACCCAGCTCCGAATTCATGACTTTAAACGTGGTGTTGTGTATAATTATACCTTTCATGATAACTTAAATGATAATTGTTAATTTTGCATACGTCGACCACCTTACTTTGTTCATTGCCGTTAAGAAACTTAGTTTTACCGGGAGAGGATGTAGATTGACATATACTTATGGAAAAAAATAACGGAACGTATGTCAGCGGAGGCATTTGTTATGTCCTTTATTTGTAAAATAATAATTAGCGATTTAATGGTATGTTGGATTCGAATAATCTGGTCCTTATTTCGGTTCATATTTACATTGAGTGCAGGCATTCTACTGTTAGAAATATTTGTGTGTTATTTTATTGTTTCCATCATATTTCTTTAAACGCGTATCTGATAATAGTGATTTAACCAGTCAAGAACATAAAATTTTCAAATTTTATAATTTGTCTGTATTTCCCCTCTTTAAATATATCACAATTTGGGATGATTTAGATAAGCATAGCAATGCATGCTATGCTAATCTTATTTTGACCATATGAAACATACGCGTTGATTATTATTATTGATTATTTACAACCTATCAATTATCCTTATTTATCAGGGATAAAAAAAAACTTACTTTAAACTAAATAATTACAACTGAACTCCATGAGGTATTAAGTACTGATCACAGCGTTCTACACTCACTGACCCAATCCACTTAAGCTCCAGTACGCTGCTAATATCATAATAATAGGGAATTATGTAACCGATACAGTGCATGGAGTTTTAGCCTTATTCAGGTGTCATGGCGGAGGATAAACTCAATTGAGCGAGAAAAATACGGAGGGTTTGCACCACGCTAAAGTGATCAGCCACAGAGATTTAGGCAGCTGATATCTAGTTACGTCCATGTGTGCATGTGATTGTGCGCCTTGACCGGCATATCACCAAGGGATCTACACGGTTCAACGGAGACGATAGCCTGTCTCTATGGAATGCTGGGTTAAAGAAAGATTAACACACAGGACTAGTTTCAGTCCTGAGACAAAGTTATGTTTTAGGTTAAATAAAAGACTTTAATTAAACTGAAGTCTCTTCATTCCTAGAACTGATGATCCCAGGAGATGAACATTGCCTGCTAGAACTGAAAAGGGGAGTTAGTATGGGCTGCTAGAGCTGAAAAGGGGAGTTAGTATGGGCTGCTAGAGCTGAAAATGGGAGTTAGTATGGCCTGCTAGAACTGAAAAGGGGAGTGGGCTGCTAGAGCTGAAAAGGGGAGTTAGTATGGGCTGCTAGAGCTGAAAAGGGGAGTTAGTATGGGCTGCTAGAGCTGAAAAGGGGAGTTAGTATGGGCTGCTAGAGCTGAAAAGGGGAGTTAGTATGGCCTGCTAGAACTGAAAAGGGGAGTGGGCTGCTAGAGCTGAAAAGGGGAGTTAGTATGGGCTGCTAGAGCTGAAAAGGGGAGTTAGTATGGGCTGCTAGAGCTGAAAAGGGGAGTTAGTATGGGCTGCTAGAGCTGAAAAGGGGAGTTAGTATGGGCTGCTAGAGCTGAAAAGGGGAGTTAGTATGGGCTGCTAGAGCTGAAAAGGGGAGTTAGTATGGGCTGCTAGAGCTGAAAAGGGGAGTTAGTATGGGCTGCTAGAACTGAAAAGGGGAGTTAGTATGGGCTGCTAGAGCTGAAAAGGGGAGTTAGTATGGGCTGCTAAAAGTGAAAAGGGGAGTTAGTATGGGCTGCTAAAACTGAAAAGGGGTAGTTAGTATGGGCTGCTAGAACTGAAAAGGGGAGTGAGTATGGGCTGCTACAACTGAAAAGGGGAGTGAGTATGGGCTGCTAGAACTGAAAAGGGGAGTGAGTATGGGCTGCTAGAACTGAAAAGGGGTAGTTAGTATGGGCTGCTAGAGCTGAAAAGGGGAGTTAGTATGGGCTGCTAGAACTGAAAAGGGGAGTGAGTATGGGCTGCTACAACTGAAAAGGGGAGTTAGTATGGGCTGCTAGAGCTGAAAAGGGGAGTTAGTATGGGCTGCTAGAGCTGAAAAGGGGAGTTAGTATGGGCTGCTAGAGCTGAAAAGGGGAGTGAGTATGGGCTGCTACAACTGAAAAGGGGAGTGAGTATGGGCTGCTAGAACTGAAAAGGGGAGTTAGTATGGGCTGCTAGAGCTGAAAAGGGGAGTTAGTATGGGCTGCTAGAGCTGAAAGGGGGGTGGTATAGGCTTGTAGAGCTGAAAAGGGAATGAGAGTGGAATGGTGGTGAATGTTTTATTTAGTATATGTTCTTGGGTCTGTAGGAGAGACTAGATGAGACTGCAAATCTTTCTAGTACGTGACTATTTGCAAGTGCTATGTATTTTGACATTAGAATGATATTTCGAAAATATGTATCCTGGATATTTTCTGTTATACTGTTAGTACACGTGATCTGCGGTGTCAGCAAACACTTACCTTTGTATGCAAAATTATTTGAGTGGCGGGTGTTACCTGTTGGACACCTGGTGTCATCACTGATTTTCAGTGATCCATTCATATTATTTTTCACCGCTATTTTTACCGATCCATTTCGGCAGATAACCGAGACCAAATCTCACACTCTTACTCTCAGTGGTCAGCTAGTCACCCAGGAAGCGCTGTGTACTTGTATTAAAACATAAGACCTACTAAACCAACACAAATACAATCAAATAAATTATCTGTCATTTTGAGATAAGTAAATCTTCAGCGTCTTTGATAGGCATTTAGAATTGGGAGAACATGAATACATGACACTTTCTTATTGATAGCAATTTCTTTTATTCTTCAAACGACATTTCAGAGCTACTTCTTGCTCCATCATCAGGTGAATTCACTGAAATATGATTTTGATTATGCAACTTAATGTCTCTGATTTACGTGGCGGATATGATATTTCATAAAGATCGTTATTCCTTTTGAATTATTGCTTTCATATGCTGCCATGTTCGGTACAGTCAGCAAATGTGTGTTTTACAACATAAACTGCCAGGCAAAAAAAAGTGTACACTTGAAAATTGGATTTAACCCGAACAATGCAAACGTTATCAAAACGTTACGTCAGTAGCCGAAACACTGCAAACGTAAAGTCCGAAGCGTGACTTTGCTTCCCATTTCAAATACATTTCTTGTTTGTTTCATTCTGAGCTACCACGAAACATGAGCGGTTACTTTCTTTTGCCTGTCAGTTTATCAATGTATGTGCGGCTACTATACACAATAGCATTACAAATGACCAGGGTACAAATGACCTATACAGTGACACCTCGTTAATGCGGATCTTGTTACACAGAATGCTCCCCAAACCCAACATAACCAGTTCGTATAATAATAATAATAATAATAATAATAATAATAATAATAATACGAACTGATTATGTTGGTTTTATATATTATGATGATGATGATGATGATGATGATGATGAATCTAGAACACTATAGCCATGGATCCAAGGATTCTGTAATTTCTTGAATGAGAAAGCTGATCTGTTCATGTTAAGAGGTGTCACTGTCCATGCCAGTTCACGGTGACTTTAACTGTGTATAAACAGCTTTTGTTTGTATATAAACTTGTATCATATCGAGTAAGCACGTGTATGATGGAGCACTTCATGTAAACTACAGCAAAGTGCCAAATAAAATATCTGACAGTCTTTCGTCGTTTGTTTTCACGAAGGAGAACGTCGACATGCTGAACATAATCCAAACAGCATATACACGCGTCTGGTCGTGCACCTGTACACACACGCGCAAACACACCTATACACAACCTACATGTTTAGAGCATACGTCACATCTATAAATACACTAAACATACGCTTGTAAACATACATGCCCACATGGCTTCACACACGTTTGCAAACACCTGCACAGTGACATGCTCCTAAATGTAACTCCGTACCACACACCTGCACGTGCCTATCATGCATGTCCACCACAATACGCTTTTTAAAACACCTGCATACAACCAGCCACACCTACACACGTTTGTACAAATGTGTGTACGCCCACCTGTGAACAAACCACACCTTCATACATGTCTGTACAAATGTGTGTGAGCCCATCTGTGAACCAAACACACCTACACACGTCTGTACAAATGTGTGTGAGCCCACCTGAGAACCAAACACACCTTCATACATGTCTGTGCAAATGTGTGTGAGCCCACCTGTGAACCAACCACACCTTCATACATGTCTGTACAAATGTGTGTGAGCCCATCTGTGAACAAAACACACCTTCATACATGTCTGTACAAATGTGTGTGAGCCCACCTGTGAACAAAACATACCTACACACGTCTGTACAAATGTGTGTGAGCCCACCTGT